GAATGGGTGTATAGCCCTGGTTTAAATTTACCCTCCACCCTAAGGAATCCATTTCTGTAGTGTCAGGGTATTCATACCCTTTTACATTGCTCTATTTTAGTTGTACTTTATGTGTTCCAACAGCAGAAATTAGGACATATTTGTGATTTGAAAGAGAGAAAAAAATTCACTGCTTTGAATTTTGTAAGAGATAACTATTTGACAGGTGTATTTTTAACACTCTTTACTCTAATATAACCTGATTAACTCCAGAGCAGCCAGCTGGCTTCTGAAGTCACCTTTTTGTTAAACATGGTTTCTCTACTTTAACCGTTAAAAAACATTTGATCTGTGAGGCCCAAGAGTTTTTTTTTTTTTTAAGAGATTGATAAAAAAGACAGAAACACAGAGACTTTTCATGGAGTTGTGGAGACGTTTTGAATGGAAAGAGTCTCACACAAGATGAGAAATAGAAATACATGGCGGTCAACCTAAATTAAAAGGTCATGGTAGAATTATGTCGATCAGCTAAGCAATAAAGAGGGTTATGGGCTTTCTGGATGAGCTTCAGAATTCGACAGTTCAGGTGTAAGAATATGTTGATAGGCCACCTGTCAGGTGATGCCCCCCCCAAATCTGACCTTAAAAGAGTGGCAAGAAGAAAACCACTGCTGATCTCATCCACAGTTCCCCACAAGCCATATAGGGGCAAAAGATATCTGTTCAAAAAACCCACTCCTCTAATAAGAGGAGACCAAAATTAAAAGTTATCGGCATCAAACATCTGCCTATTTGCATCATTCCAACTGTGAAATATGTTATTGGGCTGCAAAATGACCTAGTTAAAGTCCAGACTAAAGTTTCAACTTATAATCTGTGATAATCAGTCCGCCTGAGTGTGAGCAATTCAGGGAAGAAAAATGGGTGAAGAATAAATTCTATAGAAACTCAAAGGTGGTGGAGACATGCCTCAAAAAACTTTAAGCCGTAATGCACTAACCTGGTTCTACAGGGCACTGAATTAGGGAGGAAAATAATAATAAACTGGGAGAAATTATTTTCAGGTTTATTGTTTTTTTAACCTTGTACCCGTACTCTGCTTTGTGTTGGTATATAAATGCTTTTGAAAGGTATGTTTTTCTAAACTTTAGTAGCAGATGGCCATATTTTGCTCAGTCATTTGGTACCTCAATGTTCTGTGTCCTTTTAACAGAAAGAAGGCCGACTAAAATGTGTAAAACCCACCAAAGGGGAGGCCTGTGCATGTAACAGCCACCCATGGTCATTAGACGTCCCAACACAAAATCAAATTACACTGAACTAAAACCACCAGCCTGGCAACTCTGCAAGCCGGGGTTTGCCTGCTGTGGCCAAACACCATGATACGTGACACTGTGGCTCTTGTTTAGCTGGCCTATCAGAAGACAAGGGAGAGGCCTTCTTAGTCTCAGTCCAGCTAATGAAGAGATGCATTATGATGTTATTTCATTTGAGCTTGCAAAAAAAAAAGAAGAAAAAAAAGAAGAAGCTGCTGTGGTTAGCAGCGCCTGAGTAGCATGGTTCATTTGTGTAGTAACATGTGACTTGTGTTTTCGTCAGTCATAAGGATCTCCTGCCTAATGGAAGGCAGTGTGCACTCATGTGACGCTGACACAATGCAGGATGAACTGTGTAGTATTCTCCACGGCTCCGCTTCTGCTACTGTTTTGGCGCTACGAAATTCAGGTCAAAGACTGCCTTTCAGGTTTTAAGTGTGACAAACAAACTTCAGTCACAAAGCATTGTTTTTAAACGTGTCCCTTCTTTACTTCGGGGCCAAGCTGGCGCAGTACGTGTGCCGTGTCTAGGAAAACAGCGTGATATCTGTCCCATGGTCACTGTCGAGTTTTTTTTTTGCTGGCTCATCCCTGCCTCTCCACATGCCTGTTTAACAACACAGAGCTCCTCCTTACTGGCTTCCTGTCCAAACCAGTTTATCTGTAAACAAGTGTGTTTTTTTTCCTCTCCGCCCTATTGTCCACACTACACCAGAATGCATATACAGCGGGCGCCCTCTCTCTCCTAGTCAGCTTTTGTGCTCCAGACGCAGAAAGTGTAATGTTTTTTACAACACACAGCTGTGAAAAGAAATATTGTGCTTGAGGAGATGGAAAGACTTAACTCTCTTAAAATAATGCTATATTGACTGAAAAAGTATTTTCCTTTGTATTTATGTGAGAGGTTGGCTCATGAACACCCATATAAAGGAAAAGATATAAGCTAAAGTAGGTATGAAATCAGAAGGGTTGTTATTGCAGAGTCACGCTTACACCACAACATAGTGTTGTGTCCCTAAACTGAAAGTGTCAAAATTTGTTGACACTAAATGTTCTCAGTTTAAAATTGATATTTGGTCAGATGGAAAAGCAATGAAGATTTTGTTAATGATCCAAACAAGAATTTAGATTTAATTAAAACTGCAGTGGGAAATGTGATGTCAAAATAATTTTAGATAATGAAAAAATGTCCTCCATCAGACTGGTTGGAAATAAGCCCACTCAAACGTATGACTGAGAAGAAGAACTGCAACATGAATGTGTGTGGCTACTATCTACTGGCACTCACCCTATTCTTTTTTTATTTATTTGTTAAACATTACAGTCGCAGCTTGTGATGTTGACCTGTTTGGCACTAAAAGAGGAGCCTAAGATACTGACCACATAAACGCTAACTAAAGTGCACGTTTACAGTGAGTTTTGAAAGAACTCACTGCAGCCAGTGACTCTATGAAATCTGTTAGGTTTCCTTTGACCATTTGTTAACTCATTCTGTCTGTATAATTTGATTAAACTAAGGCCCCGTCCACACGAAGACGAACCCTGGCCTAAACGCACAAATTTTTCACCAAACCAGCCTCTCATCCACACGAAGCCGGCGTTTCGGGGGTCTGTAAACGATCTTTTTTTTATTCAGCCTTCAGAGTGGGAAGATTTCGAAACGCCGTTTTAGCGTTTCCATCTTTACGCTCTAACCGCATATTTTTTTTTTACACGCATGCGTCATAGCGTCGCCTCTAAACACGCATGCGCGACACATCACAACAACAATGGCGCCGTTGCTGCTCATGCTACTCACCCTGCTGTCGGGCTTACAACAGAATCTTCTTCTTCTGGAATATCTCTAGGAAGAACAGAGAAATATCGACGACATAGTTCAGCACCTGAATTTGACTTAACCACGAAAATGGACCCGCAGGGCAACCATGTATAAATATTAGTGCGCATGCCCAACATTTCGTCGCTTATTTTTGCTTTGGCACCACAGCGCCACTTACAGGCCTGGCATACATTTTGCCGCGTTTTCATGCATTCGTGTGGACGCTCACATTTATTTTACGTCTCCGTCTTTACGGCAAACGTTTTGGAAAATATCAGCGTTTCGTGTTCATTTTGACTTCGTGTGGACGGGGCCTAACTCTGGATAGAGGTTTGAGATGACATACATTGCAAATTGGTGCTATACAAATAAACTAAATTAGACTGAACTCTCTAACTAAGTATATTGAAGCAAAATACGCTTTAAATAGACTTTTAAATAACTTATATCAAATATTTTGCTATTGATTAGTGTATTTAAAGGAATAGTACACCCAAAACATGATTAGCTTTCATTTTCTACTCACCTCCATGCTGAACAACACTCTGGAGTACTTTTTTGATATCTCAAATGCATCTGGAGATCTGGGAGGCTTCTTGCTGTCTGCTGACATTCAAATAATGGAGGTCTATGGTGCCCGAGGCAGAAAGGTCCATAAAAGTCCACAAAAAACGTGTCAATATTCCTCCATACTGCTCGTCCAATGTATTCCAAGTGTCCTGAGTGGGTAGCATCCAGAATTTACTCGAAAAAGAAGTCATTTAGAATGTTTTGAGAGCATAAACAGTAGTGTATAGGATTTCCTGAAAGCACGCGCCTGCGCGTTCACGACGCTACGGAAGCCGGCAGACCAAACCAGATGAAAGTGCGCATTCAGCGTCTGCTCTGCCGATAATGCAAACGTAGAAGAAGAAATGTGCTGTTTACCTGTGCAAAGAAAGAAACAACGAAAGAAAAATGTCTGAGGACTTCAGTGTTGAGGAAGAGCATGAGTTCTTTGCCGAGCTGAATGCGCACTTTCGTCTGGTTTGGTCTGCCGCGGTTTCCGTAGCGTCGTGAACTTGCAGGCGCGCGCTTTCACGAAATCCTTTACACTACTGTTTATGCTCTAAAAACATTCTAAATGACTTCGTTTCGAGTAAATTCTGGATGCTACCCACTCAGGACACTTGGAATACATTGGACGAGCAGTATGGAGGAATATTGACACGTTTTTTGTGGACTTTTATCGACCTTTCTGTCTCGGGCACCATAGACCTCCATTATTTGAATGTCAGCAGACAGCAAGAAGCCTCCCAGATCTCCAGATGCATTTGAGATATCAAAAAAGTACTCCAGGGTGTTGTTCAGCATGGGGGTGAGTAGAAAATGAAGGCTAATCATGTTTTGGGTGTACTATTCCTTTAATCCAAATGAAAAACTTATTCTCAGTACCCAGGATGATCAGCAATGCAACACAGCCTCCTGTATATATGACTATCAGGGCTTTTGTGTACATGTCTTCTCACTCTGAACATTTATGAAAATAGCATCAGTCTAAACCAGTGATGTGTTTGAGGTAGCATTGTTTTATTTTAATTTTTGTCTTCCCTCTTTGGGGTCAACTAATCAGGATTTATGCGAAATATATTTATTCAATAGTGATAAATGCAAAGAACCTTGTCATACTGTATATTCAGAGTATATGCTTTATGTTTTAAACTAAAGCTAATTTTGACCCCTCGTCCCTTCACAGGGTTTTAAGAAAGATGAGGATGTCATTAACACTGTTCAAATTAAAAAGTACCTAAAAACATGTACTAAAAATGTACTGCCACTAAAGATTCATGCTTTTTATTCATAGAAACCCAAAAATAATGGTTACATCCCTGCGACCTATTGTATTTACAGCACTTAAGATTTTGCTTATCTGTGTTAGTTTTTTTACTCTGCCCAACTTGCAACATGCTACTTTCCTTTAATGTATTTATATTTATTAGCTAAAGATAGCTTGTTTTGTTTTTATATTTTGGAAAGTTCTCCTACACACTTGCAGAACAAATATGAAATATGAATAATTACAGAATAGACAGATGACTCATTTGTGTCTTCCTGGTAAAGTACAGAGTAGTGTAACCCTGAGGATGAATAGAACTTCATAGTTGTTTTGATGTGGGTCACTCAGCAGACACCAAAGACTTTCAACAAGCTCACTACACAACCAAGACTAGCTTTAGGTGCTAAGAGACATGTCAGAGAACAGCACTTGTTACATGATGTCAAGGAATTTGGTGTAATGTTAATGCATCTAGAAGCAGCCTGTTTATAAACCCACCTGTCCAAAGGCATTTTGTTTTGTTTTGTTTGGATTTCAATAAGAAAAAAAAAATGGAACAATGCAGTTGTAATGTAACCAAAGTATGAATTTTTGCATTTTCTTATTAACAGCAGTTTGCTTTTAAAAAGTTTAAACGTGATTCCCTGTTCATGGCTTTGCTGCAAAAAGCTGGCCTGGGACTCAAAGAGTTACAGATCTCTTGCAGCAGTCCGCTGCAGTGAGTTTGACATCAGCAGAGTGCATTTTCAGTATCCAATCAGCGGCGCTGAATCGGCTTCGCTTTTAGCCAATCAGGAGAGGGGGTGGGCTCTAACAAGGTTTGAACTAAGACGCTATCTTTCGGCGCCATTTTTCTGAGTGAGCAGCTATAGCTTCAACAGCTGCGGGGAGAGGATGCTTCTGCTGCGAATATAGAGAGCTGTCGCTGAGACGGCGAGGGGGGGTGAGATGAAGCCAAGTGGTTAAAGCCCAAACTGCGTTTTTTAGAGAAGAAAATCCTTCATCTCAGCGGGAACACAGGTATTTACAGCCACAGACGTGAACATAGGTTTTTATTCTGGAATTCGAGCGGACTTAAAAAGAGGAAATAAGTGGGGGTGAAAAGGGAGGGAGACCGACATTGGCGGGGAGACGTTAGCCGTTTGGCCAGCGTCGGCAGCCTGTGATACACAGAGCGGTTGGGGGGGGGGGGGGGAGTTAGCTTAGCTCGCTACTTCAATGAGATGGATTTCTGACTTTGCTGCGCTGCAACGATAGAAGGGAAAATGCGCTCGTGCGGTGAATTATTTCATCCAAGGGGTGATGGAGACTACTTTAGACAAAAATAAGATACACAGGCTTGTTGAATTTTATTTTCAATACATTACGAAGGTACTTAACTTTAGTGTTATGGGTTAAAGTTGAGCTATATTTGAGATTTTTATTTATTTTTTTTTTTTACATTCGTCAGTTTTGAGCGGGAGGTGTAGAGGCAGCGGAGAGTCGATAGTTTCAACAAAGCACACGGCACTTGCACTGGCCTGGGAGGGAAAAAAAAAATCAAAATGAAAGATCGGGACGGACACGGTGCTTTTAGTAGTAACTTCATTTTAACGATCTTGTTGGTCAAGGGAGACATTTTTTCCGGACTTGTAAAATTGCAATATGTTGAGTTCGTAGGGGGGGAGAAATTAGACAAAGGACACCTGGTAAGTTTGTCATTTAATCTCTAATGACCCTCAAAAGTCTGAAGTGACAATGATTACAACGTAAAACGAAGATTAAATATGTTTTGTTTTCCTAAGTTGCAAACTGATACCAGGAAAAAAAATATATTTTACTGATGGTCTTATAGTATAAATTACTTCAAAGGCGTAGCACGTCATTTTTATTTTTTATTTTGCTGTTAAAAAAATGTGATTACCTTATGGTGAACGTTAGATGATGTGTGTGTCTCTGCGCCAAGTGACAGCAATCGTAGATGATTTTATTTAATTTAGATCTGCCTGTACCGCAACGAGTAGTTATCATGGTCCAAACGACATTTTGAATTAAAATAATTATTTTATTTCCGGTGTTTTTTTCAGCCTGACATTGAAGTTGGGATTTTAAGTTTGTCTCGAGTCTAATGAAAGATCTTCGATCGTTTCTTTTCTTTTTCTTTTTTCTTTTTTATTCAAATCTGACGTTTTTATCACGTATGTCTTGATCAAACTGGTTAATTTGAAGTTTAGGCGATAAAACCTCGTGGTCTCACTGTAGAGTGAGGGATGGCAATGTGGAACTGAGTTATTTAGCATCATATGACCCTTAAACGTGATGTATTATGCTGCTTTTTTCTTTTTGTACCCTTTTTTACTGGAAATACGAGGGAAAAGAAGAGCTGTGTGCATTTGATCATCTGAACCCACCCCTTTTACTGCCTTGCAAGTGGAGATCGGTTTGATGTGTTACATAATGTGAGACCTTTTTCTCTTTTATAATTTTATACTGTTTAGAGAAACCAATTTTAAAACGGATTGTTTAGAATAAATGAAAAAAAAAAAAGCTTTAAAATGACATTTGTAAGTCACCAAGTGCCTTTTTTTTATTACATCTGGAAGTGTACTTTGTGGCTTTTTTGTGCAATTTCTTTTAAAATATATGATGCACTGGAGTTGAATAGAAGCATATTTAAACCAATTGGTTGTCTCAATTAGTATTTGCGCGTGATAATTTGATATTATAGATATTTCTTCAATATGGGCGGCATATTCATTGTGAAACTGCTTGCCTCATTCAGTTAGTTTTTGGTCATCTCTGTTGGCATCTTGTTCAGAGAGAAATTGCCTTATCTGCCACGATGGAAATTTTTCATGTTCACTCAGTAAGTAAATAATTGGACAGTTACACTCTCTGTGTCTGGCTTGTAGTAAAACGTCCTTTTTAGGGTCAGCATTAAAACCCCATTGGATATTATTGTTCTTCATAAAATCCTGCCATATATGGTTTTAAACTATACTATTTCTGTAGAATAAAATATATAAATCCCTTGAATTTGCTGAAATTTCCCAGATTGTGACTTCAGTACAAACATTGTTAATGCATATGTCAATGTTTACATAGAATATGGTTTATTTTCTATAAATAACTGATTAACAGTGCGGACATATTAGGTAGTCTACATGCCTAACTTGACTCCTGATTGATATGGTGTAAAGTAGCTATGTGACACTTTGGCATTGTGCTTTCAGAGATACTCTTCTGAGAGGGCCTCTTCACACTTTCAAAAAGCATTAGCTGAAATACTCCCTGTGATTTCATGTCATTTTACCCTTAATTTAAAAAAAATGCTAAGACTTGAAAGCAAATTTCCACCACGTCCTATGAATAAAAAAAAAGTGCTGCCTTGCATTGGGATTGTTGTGTACTTGCAAAACAATGCTTTGGACATGTTGTGTCCATCAGTATCTGTCTATTTTTTATTTTCTTTTTTTTAAAGAAAGGTGCATTTATTTTTCAGGAAAGACATCATTATGACCCCGATTCCCCCACACACTTACTAAAGGCACATTTCCCTGTTTATTACATAATAGTTGCCTTTTTTTATTTATTTTTTTAACCTTCATAACAAGGTAACTAATAAACGAAATAATCAATGGAGTTATTTAGTCAAGAAAGAGGTATTAATGTGATATTCCACCATGTAGTGTTAATTTACAGGTTTCTGTCCCCCCCTCCCTGCTGCAGACTGTTAGCCTGACATTCTGGGACTCGTCATTCTGTCTTCTCAGACCCCTCTGGCAAAATGGGCTCCCAACCCCATTTCCTGGAGATACTTTCTCTCGTCTTGCGTTTGTTCCTGTGTTTGTAGGCAGACTGCAGAGATCCCCCCTCCCTTCTGTCTTCTTTCTGGACTACTCAGCATAAACTTTATAGTATTCAAATTTGTTTTGACAGAAACGGTTTTCATGGGGGTTGTTGGTTCATTTCCAGGTATTGGCCCTGGTTTCAGTTCTGCATCTTATTTGCATAAGAGATATTATCTCACATAGTCGAGCCACCTTTCTTACAAATATAATTTATTTGTATTTATTTCATGAATAGTTATAATCAAAGCAGAACAAATTTTAGCAGCAATTCTTTATTTCACATTTAAAATGTTGATAGTTTTACAGATTTAATGAATTTTACAAAAATAAAGTTCACACATGGTTAGGTTGTGTCTTAATTTATTTATTGATTTTTTTTTTTAAATCAATCTCTTAGTTGTTTAATAAAGCTCAGCTGATGATTTGATTACCTGCTGATGAAGTACTGGAAACAAAATGTAAAGTGTCTCGTGGCTGCTGCTTTTTGGACAAATTAGCATTATGCAAGTCGTTTTGTCATAGAAATTACTAAGACTTATTTCTATATTTTTATTTTATTTTCTGGTCCCGGCACCATATGTCAATTTTTTTTTTTTTTTGTCTTTATCTATGCATATTTAAATATATTTTGAGTGTTTAAATGACTTTGTTTTACACTGTGTACTGTCATGACTTCTGCAGTCAATGCTGTGTGTTTGTCAGTATAGGGTTAAACAGATTAGCCTCACCAAATATGAAACAAGTCTTATTCTTTTTTGTAATTATATAGCTTATAGCTGTATTTTAGAGCAATTGTTTTCATATAGGGAATATTGCACGCAGGTTTACAATTTTAAAGTCACTGGATGGTTTAATTTTTTTTGTCAAGAGCTTCTTAAGTTGGAGTTGGGCAAATACACACTTTGTATCAGACCTGTTTTGGCATCTGCATTTTAAAATAACAGTTTAGGTTGTGTTTGAGTAATTGCTTCACAAGTGAATGGGTGTGTGAGCCTACTCACACTTTTGCCTTGCTTCCTCTTTTGCCCCACTTTCACATGGTAGCCTGCAAAAGCAGCACACTCAGTTTCATCCTAGTTTATTCACTGCTTTTCTTTTGTCAGATGTGAGTTTGCAGAAATGTTAAAAATGGAGATGAAGGGAATTTTTTTTTACCTTTGTGCCTCTGCATTGGTTTAAATTCAATTCCCTGGTCATGCATATGAATTTGCATGTTTTATTTTAAGATCTCAGATTATTTAAATAAAATTATTAATTGCCAAAGAGCTCAGGCATCTATGAGCTGTGGACCGTGCTTCTGCAATATTAGTCTTTATATTGTGAGAATTGGTCCACTTGTTCACTGTTTGGGGTGAAGTATTTTTACCTGACATATCTCAAGCAATTGGTGTATTTAGAGGAAAGAGTGTTGTCAGTCCATGGGGGAAACTAATAACTTGCAGCTGGTTTTACTCAGAATCTGAAAAATGTATAGCTTCTATTGTTGTCCCGTGATATAAACTAGATATGTCACTAGGTGTGCAAATCTTAAGTGGAAATAAAATTCCCTTTTTCTTTTTTTTTTTCTTCAGAACTTGCAAACTACAAGCCAGTGGTGTCAATCGGTCTCACATGTCCTCAAAAGTAATTTTTTAGTTTGTATATAACTTGGATGCTAGAATGGAAATTGTCTCTGTGTCTATTTGTTTATTTATCAATCAGATTTGTTTTTCAGGTCTGGGTTTTATAAAAAATTTTTTATGTGGATAGATTTGGTACACTTGTATTTAGTGTGCTCATCCAGTTAGGTGTATAACACAGAGCAGGAGGGGCAAGTCCAGACCACTTGATCTGGGGTGCTGATGGGTTGTCATGTCAGTGCCCCTGAACCCAGCAGGGTGTAGGAGGTTACTTGACCTTTCAGCCTTGGGGTTAGGTGGCCCTCTTAGGTCATTGTATAGGGAGCAAGTGTCAGGAGTGGGTTAAAAAGGCTGAGCAGCGAAGGTGACTTGTTCAGGCATGCTTCCTTAATGAGAAAGAGGAAGAATATTAGGGACGGTTAGTCATTTAAAATTAAACTTGGAGAGTAAATATGAGAAATGATTTGGCTCACCTGATTGATCCCTGGTGATTAAGGTGAAACATTTCCTCTGGAAACCTCACTTTAAAATGACATGCTGGCTCCTTCCTCTTTCTGCAGGACACACTTGTTCTACGTGCAGCTAACCGTTAACCAGCTAATTTTGTTTGAGTCCTATTTTTCAAGTCTAAAATCTAAAAAAATAAAATAAAATTTGATACATTCATGCTTTTATATTCAAAACACCCCAAATCCATGATCAGCATTCATTTTATTTATATTTATTTTATTTTTGCTGTTTTTAAGGCAAGTGTTCACGGTTAGTTTTTAAACCATGCACCATAAATCAATACACTTTTTGCTTGGGTTCACGTCTATTTTCCCTTGCCATGTTTTACATTTTAATATATATTTTCTTTTTTCTTTTTTGCAGCCTAAAGAGTGACTTAGCTGTCTGTACTTTTAAATGGGGGATGTGGTGTCTTTAAGCCCAGTACTAACATATGATTTCTATATGCTAATCACACAGAATAGTAACAAAACAAAATCTTTCTCGTGTGTATGTGGGGAAGGACATGTGTGCTAACTTGTTTATTACGGTAATGAAATGTTTTTTTTGTTTGTTTTTTTTTTCATCCCAGACATACTCTCACTGTACATGAAAAGTACTCTGTCCTCCAGTATGATTTTTAAGCTAGTGTTTTGTTTATTCATTTGTTTTATTCTGGGTTGTCAGAAAATTTAAATGTTTTATACAGTTTTGTCTTTCAGTCTAAACCCTGTTCTGTATGTCCCATTTATACAGATTTAATTTTTTTTTCCTGATTCTTGGTTGAAATGTTTTATTGGAACATTACAACCAAGAATATTAGTAAAAGATGCCTTTTTGTCATTTTATGTTCCACTTTAGACATCAGCAATAATAGACTATGAGTCACTGTGTTGTGTTCCAAACACTGTGCTATTGTCTGTAGTACTAGTCTATAGAAGCAGGGTGTTAATACAGCTGTTGAACCAGTTTGGTCTGGCATTCTGTCTCCTAATAAATTTCTGATGTTAAATTATTTGACAAAGCATTTACACCTCAAGGTAAGAAAAGTGTCACAGGCAGGATTGTCAGTCTGAGATCTTTTGAAAACCTCAAGTTTTAGGGTTGTTCTTAAGGGTTACTATGTGAAAAAGTTTAGCTCTTCTTTTGTGAGCTGGTTATAAATGTAAAGTGGAAAGAATTTACAATGAAATTTCAGTGTTAATGTCAGATGATCTTCATGATGAATGCTATTTTTATTGATGTTTTCCTTTTTTTTTTTTATATGCAATCAAATATTAGATCAACTTTACGGTATTTCTTGAAATCTGATGTTGACAAAAGTAAATTTAACTTATGAACATAGCTACTCTGTATTTTGATATCTGGGACAGGAACATACAGACTGTAAATGTCTTTTTTTCCTGAAAAGAAATCCCTATTTCCCATTTAGGCAATAAAATTGTATGTTTTTATTTTTTGTCAGACAGTAAAGGTGTAAGCTAAATGCAGTACCCACATTCACGGCACAGTAGCTTGTAATTTATGCTCCAGCCACATAGCATTTTCTAGAGTTTGTGTGAACAAGTAAATCTTCATCAGTTCAGTGAAACATAAAGAGAGACATGATCTTATTAGATTCTGGCTGTTAAATTCATTTCAGATCAAGTCACAGGTTCATTGAGACCTCTAGTGGCAAACAATCCCCACATCCTTACTCCATTGGAGGTAGAAGGATGAGGTGTTTTGGAAAAACTTTAAGCTTTCAATACAATCAAACTGCTAACTCGGATGTTGTCTTTTTCATGGTTTGGCATCTTTTTTTTTCTTTTGATTATTTATTTATTCCCTGTAGTTGCTTATTACATATTCTTGGTTAGTGTTAAAGCAAGTAATTTAATCCTTAATTAACATTGACACTTTTCTTTTAGGTTGCTCATAGTTTATTAACTTTTTAGGCAAATTACTTGTTTATAAGAGTTTCTCTCTGTAGTTTGGAGAAGTTACTAACAAATTGTTGTCTATCGTCTAAAGACAGAACATTTCTAAAAATAAATCTCATGATTAATTTGCCTGTTTTTTTAGTATATTTGGAGAGAAAATTGTCACCAGTGCCAATATTTTCTCTGATCAGCTCTTTTTATTCATTAAATCTATTTATATGAGAAAAAGTAGCAAGTTCTCTGTAAAGTTTGGTATTTTTAAACAAATTAAAGGTTAAAGGCATTGATGCACAAATTGAGAACATACTGTAATTCCTAAATTTCATCTGATTCCAAACTAATAGACTGATATATATTTATTTCCCTCATTGTGTTATATTGCAATAAGCTATTGGTCAGGATCAGAATGGCTGATGCCATTATGTCAGGGAAACATCGTTATGTTGCTGGTTAATTATCTGTAAAACACTTGACCTCATTATATGAAATAAGTACGTTGCATCATGTGGCCAGTGGAAACATTTGGGAATCCTTAATTCTACATCACATAAATATGATCTTTGTCAGCATTGCCTCCAGTAATGATGCAACAGTTTGGGAAAGGCCTCTTCTTGTTTCAACATGATGATGTCCTTGTGCATTAAGCAACTTGATTGGAGAATATTTTTTGGAGTTTAGCAAGAAGGATCAGTTCTGTTGCGTGAGGAGACTGGCTCCCATCCTCATCAAACAGCTCGGGGACACAGAGCCAAGACTTGTCATCCAACATCAAAGCTGATTCCTTGTGACCAAACTGCAGCAGCCAGTCTTTTGCATGTTTCATTTTGATGAAATCACAAACTGAATTGTCCTTTTCTCCATTTCAGACGGAGATCCATCTTTCCTGTTAAGGATGTAGAAAGACGTCATGGAAGATGATCGTCTCTACCTTCTTAGATGAATGCGGATTTAAAGCTTGGACAAGGCAAGTGCAAAATGCAGAAAATGAGCAGGAGAGCATCACGCCCAACTCTGGTAATGTTGTAGCAGCACAGAATGGTTTGTGGTTACTCTGAGATGCAGGCCATACTGCGCTGCCGCAATAAAGCCAGACTAGTTCAGCATGCAGTGATCAGCTTCAAGTCCCTCCAGATGTCTTTGACGACCATCGGCTGCCTGAGTTTATATTATCCGGATAATTGTTTTCCTAATGAGAGTGATGAAATGTTTCCAGGGTATTTGTCATTCTGATTTACTGGTTGCTTTACTGTAGCAGCATGTAAATATTGGAGTTGAGACTAAATGAAGTCTCCAGTATTGATCGTGCTGCTGAAGCAAAGCTGACCACTCACACTCAGTCCAACAAGCCACTAGCTGAATGTTCCCTCACACCTTCTAGGTGATAACAAGTAGACAGTAAGGATTATGTCGAGTGTAATTTGATTTTTTTGTATATTTTTTAATAAATAAAACCTCTACCTGATATCATTTGTGATCATTTTTTTAAAATATATTGTTTTATCAACCCCCCCCCCCTTTTTTTTTTTTTTTTTTTAAACAAGGGCAGCACTAAACACATTACAACTTCTTATTCTCTTTTTTTTATCATTTTTTTTCCACATTTCCTCAGATTAATGGTTGCTTATTATTGAGAAACGCTCATTTGGGCCTGCATGGCCTCTGCTGAGCTCCTTTCATGGTTAAAGTCTGCAGATTCACTTTGATCAAATTTCTCAAATCGATTTTAAACACTAGATTTAACCACTGAATTAATTTTCTTCCATATATTTAAAACAAAAATTGGGGTAATTCATAACGGCCCCCTTTAGAAAAAAAGAAAGGAAAATCGTACTTTAAAAAGCGATTCAACGGGATTCCCTTAATGAACACTTCAGTCTGCAGTTCTATAAAATCCTGTGTTTTTCTCATCTACTCTGTTGTCGCTACTAGACTCCATTTTGAGAGCTGCTGGATGAGAACGCACAGCGGACATTTACCAACATTGGTGATAATCTTAAATATGACGCATTTAAAATAGATTTCTGCGTCGCAGACCGTGGGGACAGGACGTTTTTTTTTTTTTTTTTTTCAATAAAAGTAAACTAAATAGTATTATTTCATTGATATTGAAACTAATTTTGATCATTATAAAAAATAAACCACGTTTGTTTAATTAAACTATTTAGTTATTTTCTTTTTTACTAGTGAGTTTTCTGCTTTTTCTTCATTAGTCTTGCGCGCGAGGCCGATATTTTGTCCACCTTAACGCTTTTATTTTTATCCCGGCCTTTTCGGGCCTGCGCTTTGATTATAAGAAATAAAAACATCAGCTTGTAAATAATCCTACCTTATTTAAGAAAAATATCACAAGTTTCCTTTTTTACGCAGAGATATCTTGTATTATCTTTTAATGTAAAAAAAAAAAAACTGCTTCACGATGAAGCGAATCTGCAAAAAGTGGCCTTTGTATTTAAAACTACTGAGAGGTTTAAACTAAATTACCTATATTTAAGATAATATTCAATAGACCTATATGGAGGGTATCTTCATACGCTCTGATCGTTTGGAATATAGTAAAAATCTGAATAAAAATGTGGGAAAAGGCCTACATTGCATAACCAAGCAATTCTAAATTCCTAGATCCCATTTTTAAAAAATATTCTGTACAATTAAGATAACATTTTAACTTAAAAAAAAACGTAATTTCTTTACATCTACGTTGACAGGAATTGTAACCCGCCAACGAGTTATTTAGTTTCAATTCTGATCTTTACTAATAGGATTATTGCGTAAAGAAGCGCTAGAATCCTTAATTTAAAAATGAAATATTTGGTAGCTTACAAGGCTTATTTTTCAACCTCTTTGGGTCCACAATAATTTAAAATCCCTGCGCTCTGCAGTTTTACTATGCAATTATAACTTTATGTAGAAAACATCTGGTTATATAAATGTGAATTAGGAATTCAGATATGAATGCATCCTATTTGCCTGGCAACAGGAAGCTATATATACATTTGGACTTATGTAGAGACCTGTGTGACGTCTATGCTGAATTATGGGCTTTGCTGACATCACTTTCATGGTCCGATTTTTATTTTTTCATATAAAAAAGGATCCCCTTCTACTGTAGCCAACAGCAGAGTAATCAACATACATAGGTTTCTGGTTTTATTAACATCCTTCTTGCTCATTTAATCTGACCTACTTTCCACGTGTGATGGCACGATCTCAAACCTGAAATGTGTGGAAGATAAATGCGCTTTCGTTCACTCCATATGGAACACGTTTATTGGGAGAAATTAGAATTTGATGTGCATTTGTTAAAATAAAAATGCGCGCTGTTGATTTTCTCTGATCTGCAGAAACTCAGATCTAATGTTTGATTATTAACTGAGCTTAAACATCTGACTGCAAATGCAGAGATATTGTTTGTTTTATTGAAATAATAACATGAGCGAGCAGTGTTTTCATATACCTTCCTCTGCAGCCCGCTGAATATTTCACACGGACTGTGTTACATAACGTTTGTAACCTTGAAGAGGCTGCAGCATCACTGTGGAGCGCTGGGTTTCTCCCATCATTACAGCAGCCTCTGAAGGAAAACAATCATAACAGTGATTTCCCAAATTTATTTCTTTAAATCAAGTAGAAAATAAATAATCGTTAGTGTAAAAAATTGAAGAAGAAAAAATCACAGGTTATACAAGTCTATATTGCAACCTCTGATCATGACGCTATGCTTCAGTTTGTTTTTTAGGCTTCATTTTGGTTGAATAATAGGGAAAATAAAACGTAAACAATGTAAACAATCGAGTGTTTCTATTTACCAGATGCACTTTTTGATCGATTTCATTACATAGCTGAAATGAACCTTTGAATTTGTTGCAGACCTGCATTCCTGACCTGCAACATACGTTCCAGGCCCTCGTCTATCATATCTTTACAGATTTCATGAATGTATAGAACAGTTTGGGAGTAATAGTTGATCAAGGCTTGGATGTTTGAACTCAGATCGGATGCACTGTATTGCATGGAGAGGAAAAGGATGATTAGTGTTGACAGGAAGAGAATCAGAATCAGAACTAGCCATTTGGGCAGTGTTTTCCCAGCGCCACCTGTTTGGTAAGAGCCACACTCATGGGGGACTGAGATCTTGTCTATTTCTCCCAGCCTGAGGGAATCCCACTTCTTCACGTCAAAGTTGCGCACATGGGGCCCAACGTCCATGTCTTTCCCAGAGGGCAGCGGGGTTTCCTTCACGACCTTAAGCTTTTGACGGAACTCCTGCATCTGCTGCAGGAAGCTCACCGGGTCCGTGATCCTCCTGAAGGACTTCACCAGCTCCAGAGCGCGGCTGTGCTCCTCCAGCGCAGCGGTCAGTTTGGAGATCTCCGGGTCGTACGCCTGCATCACAACCAGCTTTAGGGTTTCGAAATCGGAAAGGATCTCGCTTTTTTTGCACTCGAGGGATCCGGTGAGTTTATCGAAGTATTCAGCCACCATCCCCGCGTCCCTGCTCACCGACTGGAGCGCCTTTTTCTTGCTCCCTTGCAGCGTCTCCAGGCAGGAGCGCGTATCTGCGCTGTGCCAGTTCTCCGCCTCTTGACGCAGCTCTGCAAACGCCCCCTTCTCTTGCTCATACGCGTCCTCCAAGGAGCTGAAGTCGTGCCCTTTGTGCTCGTCGGTCGTTGCGCAAATTCCGCAAATGAGCCTCAAATCGGTGGAGCAGAACATATTAAGCGGCTGCCCGCAGTGTTGTTTGCAATCAGACGTTCTGGGCATTGCTTTAATTTTGCTGAACTTGTCGACGATCCCGCGCAGAGAGTAGTTGATCTGCAGGCTGTTTGCGCCATTATGAGGGGTCTCTTTGCGACAGGTGGGACATTTCAAAGGCGTCCTGAAAGCCGGACCTCGGTTCGCTTCCAGGAGATCTTCCAAGCATTTCTTACAGAAGCTGTGCGAGCACAGCAGCATCCGCGGGTCCTCGAAGACTCCACAGCAGACCGGGCATGTGAGCTCCTCTTGCAGCTGTTCCATCGCTCTCCTGCAAACACATCGCCGTTATAAACATGCTGGAAAACAAAATAAAATCACTCAATAAAACAGATTGATCACCATACGCACCCACATCCAGAGGGATGTCCTAATTTAAAAAACGCGCATTTCAAAACACGAACAAGATCGCAAAAGGATACAGATATGGGAAGATGGTTAAGGAGATGTTAAGTCATGTTCCAGCTGTTTCTGACGCTTCCCAGTCCTGGAAGGGAAACTCTGTTTGCCCGCGTAAATATCTGCGCGCTGGATGCGCCTTTACGCACAGACTCCGCCACATCCTTCGGAACTTTTAATTGAAAAACAGCTCACAGACTGGTCAAATACCCCCTGTCACGTCTCGTAATAAACTATTCTTTTTCATCAGCAGTACTATGGTTAGCTGACAGCTGCGCTCTTAAATCACAGCGGTTCTCCGCTCCCAATCCGATGATTATCGACAGGAGCGGGGCTTTTCGCGCTCCTCGCTCCTGTTGGCAAGGTACCGAAAGGAGAAGCTGTGACAGATTTTTGCAAGCGCATAGTAACATGCAACTACTGGACCAAAAGGAATCACTCACCAGCTGCTGAGGCGCTCTTTGCAACGCAATCATGGCGCTTGTTGCTGTGCAGACTTTGCTCTTTCCGGGTGTGGAGTTAACTGCTTTATTGCTGGGTGGAACGGTCAAAATCCGATTATTCTACTTTATATGCCCAACAAAAATAAGTTCAAATATTTAACGCATTTCTTATGCACGTTTTGTTATTTTATATTGAATTACGTGAGTTTCTATCAGAAGTTTTATTAAGTGTACGTTTTTGTCACAGCCGGGTAATTAACAGACGGTCCCTAACCTTCGGGTGGGGGAGGGGCTGTTGCTATGCAAAACATTACAGCGTGAAAAACTGTCAAGAAGGTTTTAGCATGGCTGAACTACTTTAGTGGCTCTGGTTGGCATCAGCTGTTAACTTCTAATAGTTTTAGGAGGGAAGTTATCCGTAGCAGTATATTGATGCACAGATTTAAGGGGATCCGGAAGATGTTTCAGCACCAGGTGATAAACTGCCATATTACAGATTGAACGCTTAAATTAAACCTAATCCACTTTCAGTTTTACTCGGCGGTTATGTAACATCGATACCCAATAGTCACCGGGTCACGTGGAGAAATGTTGACCTTGATTTACTTCCCTTGTTTCCATGCCATCAGGAGCAGCTGCCTATCGTTGCCTCTGTGATTGGATACAGTAAAGGGAGCAGCGGTTCTTGAAGTTCCGCCCCTCCGCCGCTAGGTGTCACTACCGAGCCCTTTGGATTTTCCGACGCAGAAGAAACTCTTTGGGTTTGACGGCCTGTTTTCCGGATGTTTGGTGAAGCTCAGGAGGTTGGGATCAGGAATGGCTGCGATGCTTTCGTGTTGTTTCGGGTGCTGCGGTGAGGGCGGCTCGGGGCATATTTCCCTCAAGGAGATGCCAACTGTTCAGCTCGATACTCATCATATGGGTGAGGAGGTTTATATAAACTGCACAGAGTGCATTTGGAAAAATGTTAACCATGTTTTATCTAAAAAATGTAACGGAAATATTCCACCATTATACCTGGCTAGTTAGCTTGTAGCTGCATGTCGACTTTCCCCCCCTGTGCGTCTGCTTTTATTTCTAAATGAAAATAATTTATTTAATAGTCTGTAATGGTTAAACTAGCTATTTTAAATGTTTATTTTGTGTTTTAGGTTAAAAGCTGGCAATGTTTATTCTTGAAGTAATTTAACCTGGACACAATTACAAGATCTACGATCATAGTTCTCTTTAGGAGAAACTCTTTAAAAAAAAATAGCTATGCATTTATGTCATCGTTATAAAAATAAGCCAAGTAATTAAGAAAACTATGTAATCCCGTGAGGATTTTTAAAGTTTACTCACTTTCAAAGAAATCCAAAACCATTTCATTTTGATGGTACTTTTCTTGTTTTGAGGGAAGAAAGAATGAGAGATCAAAACCAGCCATCCATCAGGCTAAGGGAATAACAGGCCCAGAGGGGGTTACCAACACATTTCTCTTTCCTGTGATTCTGTAGCTCATTCTGAGTGATCCTAATGCATTTAATCCACAGGTCTTCCTAGATAGAACCCCTAACAATGGTTGCACTTTTGTAAGAAAGTGATTCTGGACTCGTTTAGTTTCCAGTCCTTTGTCAATTTTAGCAGATTGCCACTTACACTGAGACACTTTCTGCTTTAGATTTCTTTACAGCATCTCTGATCAGTTGACATTTGTTTAACTCTAACCAAGATTCTGAGTGGCATCGTAGCAAGGTCATTAGAGAAAGGATATCTGTCAAACTATTGAAGATAATAAAAAAATAATAAAAATCCAGTCTCAGTCTGGGAATAGAGCTCATTCACTGCCCCACACTAAATCATAGTGTCTCATTAACATTTTCTTAGTTTTTATCTTCATATTTCACCAGGTTTAGTTTTATTGATTACAGCAAAAGAGAAATGAAAATCTGCCCCTTGGTTTACAACAGACCTTAGCTTCATCAGTGTTTTCAGTTAACCTCCACAGTTCGCCTGGTGAATTCCTTTTTAGGCATGGAAGCACCTTTAGCAGGAAAATGGTCCCAAAGCATGCTTTTATAATGTTTTTATTTGTTATTAGTCGCATACTAAGCATGGAAACCGTTTGCTTAAATAAATTTTCAAGAGTAAAATAAAATGTACTAGACTTCTGCATTTTCTCCTCAAATTTATCTGAAACATTTAGATGATCTCTGTTTAAAAGAAATCAGGAGTACACAATGGTTCAATAGCTCAAAGGTCTGCAAGATTTTAGTTTGTTGCTTCATAATTTGCTGCCTATGCTGTTTTGGTAGGGCGGTCCCAACTGTCATCAACAGGAGATTTCCTTGAAATTGAGAGATCAATCAAGAGGTGTTTTGGGTTTCACTGAAAGTGATGCAGCATGGTTACAGATAGCACAAGGATGTTCACTAATACCTGTCTAGAGTCTGAACACCTTTACAGGTTTGATTAGGTAAGAAAAGAGAATGTTAGTAGGAATTGTTGAAATTATGGGTGATATTTCTGCATTGCAGGCACAGATGTCGTCATTGTAAAGAGCGGTCGGAGAATATGTGGGACTGGAAGCTGCCTCGCGAATGCTCCTCTGCATCAGAACAAAAGCTACTTTGAATTTAAGATCCAGTCCAGTGGTAAGTCTTTGATTTAATGTCTTTATGGTATTCCTACACTATACTACTTCTACTTTTCTTGATTCTAATTGAATGATGGAGGTTTTTTTTTTTTCAAATCACAGCAACTCTTTCACTTAAAGGAATTGTGGAGGATTCCCCCCCCCCCAAAAAAAGCATATTCAAAACCCTGTACCCGCTCCCAAGAGAGAACACCTATTAAACGCGTGCAAGAACATGCACAAGAGCTCTCTACACAAAGCATTTTGGGATATATCTGCCTCTTCTGAGGCCTTACTTTTCCTCTCATACACTTGATAGTAGGGGTGTTAATCCCATCCATCATGGCGATTTGATTCAGTATCGATTTCCTGACCCAACGATTCGATTATTTTCGATACTCGAGAATACACCACGATTCGATCCGATTAATTGGTTCATTTTTTTACTTTTTTTTTTTTTACATCTTACAGGCTAGACAATGTTTCAAATTTGAAATAAATCAATGAAAGCTATAATATCGTTATGCTTTTTTCTTTTTTTTTAAAACTACAGAAAATAACAGAAGTAGAAAAGCTGCACTCCGTCTATTCCCATTAAAACCTAATTCACAGAAAAATATTACCCCTGCGCTATAGATTCTGCAAGGCTTTGCATCAGAAAGTACTGCACAAAATCAGTGCAATGAGTGCAATGCAATACCTCGGCTCCAGACGTCGCCGCCCCCTCCACAGATGCTTCGCTGCACCTCTCCCAAATTGTAGCTGACGGCAGACAGTGCCGCAGACAGGAGGCCGGCTTGTTTTGTTTTTATGACCGAAATTGCGGAAAACAACTCGTGAAGTTTGACCTGTTAGAAGAGCGAGGTGCGCGAGAACGCTCTGACCCTTTTTCCACCTGGATCTTCGCTCTTTTTGGCCCTCATGTCCCTCCGTCGTCGGACTAAACTCGCCCCCACTTCCTCACCGCCTCGGCCGTATCTAGACCCACAGTATGTAGCTCAGACCACGCTTCAATATTGGACATAAATCAAAAATGTCTGTGTCAAGCTCACTGCAACACACTGCTGTAAGAGTATAACCAGGAAGCGAGGTAGGAGGGCAAAATAGGTTTAGCGCCACCGCAGCACGGGAGGGTAGAATTACGTCCAGGAGCAAAATGGGTAAAAATAGACCGGAGGAAAAAAAAAACATGAATCGATTCTCTTGCGGACGTATCGATGCATCGGATCGTCGGCTGTTGGATCGATGTATCGATACAAAACGATTATTATTTACAACCCTACTTGATAGACACTTTTTCTCTTACATCCCTCGGCCATTTTCTTAGAACCGTCGTGAGAAAGGTGAGCTTCAATGACTGTCTGAAACCATAGCTCACCACAGATATACGCCTGAATTTCGCATACACAGAAAAAGATGGCTAACGGGACTAGCACGTAGGACGGCTTTATGTAAATATGTCATCAGAAAGATTGACAATTAGGAGGATCACTTATTTAGAAGATCCATCCAAAAATAAAAGATTGTCCTCTATTCCTTTAGCACAAATAAAAAAAGGTTTTGGTTGGGTTTATATAAAAGAAAAGAACAGCAGCTGAACATAGTATATGTCTCTCCATATTCATTATATTATGATTGAAACATTTACCTAATGTAGTAAATGTGGTTATTAATCATAAAAAAAAAGCTGTCATATATGGACGCATTTTATATACTGTATATATCCCCATGCATCTTTTTTCAATCAATAACTATCAGGAGTTGCAGTAAATAGATTCCCTCCAAATGTATAAACATTGAGATTTTCAGTGGGGTCTTTTTTTTTTTTTTTCTAGGTGTGTGGGGAGTTGGGGTGGCCACCCAGAAGGTGAATCTTAACCAAGTGCCTTTGGGCAGAGACACAAACAGCCTAGTACTGCGGCATGATGGGTCTGTGTACCACAACAATGAAGAGAAGAACCGTCTGCCTGCCAACAGCCTTCCTCAGGAGGGTGACGTCGTGGTGAGGGCAGCTATATACTTCTTTAACCATGTTTCAATTGGAAGCAAGAGCCTTTATCATCTCTGCACTTTGATTGAGCTGGTATAGCTTTAAGAAAGAAACTAAATTTAACTTAAACATACTTGTATATAACATTTTAATATGGATAATATTTAGGGGTGAAATATTTGATTGTTCAACCGATGGATCGATTTCTACTCCTGCAATCCAAATACATCGATCTGTGCTTGGCAAATTGTACAATATAGATGCATTTTTATGTGAGCATTTTTAATGACAGACGTTAAACGCGACTCGATTAAGTCCGTCTGTCTGTGAGGTCATGACCATGCAGCACAGACTTAAAAACAGCTTGCCGGCTGTAGAAGAAGTCACA